AAATTTTGAAGTCTTAAAAAAAAAAAAACCCAATATACTTCAGTGCTTATTTTTTTTTTTTAAAGTGTCCGTTTGTTTGATTAGTTAAACAATAAATAGAATCACATACTGTAAGTTAAAAATGTTGATTTAAAATTATTAAAATAAATAGTTCAGTAAATAAATATAAGAATTATCGATACATGAAATGTGAAAAGGCCTTACGTTTTGTGACAGTACACGTTATATTTTTAAACGTTAAGTCAAGTCTGCAGAGTGCATATTTTATTTTGACTTTAAATGTCGTGTCTTGAAACAAAAACCGTGTGAACACAGCTCGGTTCGACCCAGCATCTATCTTTGTTGAGTCATTGGATGATATCTCTATTAGACATGGCGTTGCCGGTCCCATACAAACGTATTCTATAGTTATACTTAAATCGTCTTGATCAGTGGTAAAATTACAATCAGCTAGATCGGAAATATTATTTCCGTTTACTGTCAATATTCCGGTGACATCTGTAGGTTCTGGAAAATAAGAAAAAATGAAGAAAAAAAACCGATGTAATTGTAACAAAAACTTTAAATTTTCTTGTCATTTCAAATTATCAAACAGATCCTGTGGACAATCTGAAACAACCCGTGGGGAAACCATAAAGGCACATAACCACAGATGTTTGCCTCTGCCCGCATACAACTCTACTGGTTTCACTTTGAAGCCTTCAAAGCCTTGATTTCTGCTCCCCCCCCCCAATCCTACCCACCCTTTTGCCAACGTACAATGATTTCTCAGTCTTCACCAAACCATACAACCGGGAATAAAATAAAAGTAACGAGGCAATGTATAGATTATCGATTATGTGTCCTACCTAGCCTTTGGGACGGTGGCTTAGGAAAAGAGGTCATGGAATGAACAAGTCCAAGGCTGGACTGGGTCACCGGGACACCGGGAAGATTCCCGATGGGCCGCTAGGACCGGTGATGTAATAAAAATAAAAGTCATGACGATAGGGCCACTTTCTGTTTTTTTTTCACGGGCCGCTTTGATTTTTTCCCGGGCCGCTTGAACTCCCCAGTCCACCCCTGGACAAGTCGTCCGCACTAGGCATCGCAGTTTTACGTTATAATTTAGGCATTTATTGAAGACTGCGGGGTTAGTTTTTTTTTTTTTATTTGTTTTCTAAAATTAATTTTCAAC